GATCATTTTGGCCGCAAGCCGCCGCACCTTAAGGGGGCCGGCTTCCTCGTCCTCGGAGTTGTAGATCCTGGGACGGAGAAAGCGGAGCGTGCGTTTTGGGCTCCCGCATGGGTTCAGGATAACAACAAAAAAGATGCAGCAAAAGCCCAAGTCCCTTGAGCCAAGGAGCTTGAAGTCGGAGTCCGGCATCCATTCCTGGTTGAAGCCCAGCCTCTTGCGGCCCTCTGCCAGCACCTCCAGAAAAAAATACGAGCCACACGGAAGACAGGAGAGCGGGTCGAGGCGAACATGTCGCTGGATCCGGGGTAGCCAAGTCTCAACGCATGCACTTGCGTCAACCCGAGCAGCCTCGCTGGCATCTGCATCCGCCTGCTGAGCACACGCTGAATCCATCAGTCAACATCATGCTAGGTGAGGATCGCAGAATCGACCTCATGCATGATAATATGTAAGGAAACGACTCTGGACGGAATAATTTGCAAAAACAACACTGCCTTGATCATGAAGCGACATCGGGCACCCTGCGCAGGAGCGGTAAACCTCAGCCGTTGGAGTCGTGGAAGACTTGGGCGGTTCGGCCTCACCTGAGCCCAGCACTCGATCTCCACCACGTCGCGGCTGAGGACTGGTGTCCTCGGGATTCCGAACGGCTCCATATGATGCTTGCGATGGCTCTTTTTTGCGCAAACGCCTCTCACGGAAGGAATTGCCCTGCCAAGGCACCACGGAGTGGCGGAGGCACCGGCTTGTCCCCTCAGAGCCGTGCGGCTCTCCTGGCGCAATGCAAGCAGGTGTGGGCCCCGTTGGAGCTGGACAAGTCCCGCCATCCCACCTGGCGGGGCGCCGCGCGCAGGCCCACGAAGGAGAGGGAGGAGCCCAGGAAGGCGACCAGCATAACCTGGCGAGTCCATGCCCGTGTGTTCCATCGTCATGGAAACATTATCTTTCCCTTTGGCTGAAAACGCCACGACGTCAGAAAAACTCCTTCCGCGTGAACTGTAGCTGAGGCACGGCAGACAGCAGGCTGGACTTGGCCATGATGACAAGAAGATCTGGAGGGGTTGGGGATGCCGCTGCTTTGAGCCTAGTGAGCTGCAAATGCTCTCAAGTTCCGTGCAGTGCCCGGGTCACCCTTCTGCGACACTCCAACACACACAGCCCTGTGTTGGACGAGGGTTTTCCCCTGCTCATCCGGATAACAAGCACGGTCGTTCCCTTGAAGGCACTGTTTAGCTTCCTATAGGTGCGCTGGTGGGAATGCCACGTTGTGTGAGGTCATTCAATGGAGAAACATGGAGTTTCGACTCTTTGGACGCGCGCTGTGCCACCCGCACGAAATCCAGGAAGTGATCATTGACACCATGCGACCGGCAAAGAAACGATGCAGTCTCTTTTAACTTTTTCTAGCAAGGGAGGGGCCTGCGATGCAATGCGCCTACTCACATCCGTCTTTGGGAGAAAGGGATACTTGAGGCTTTGAGCCAGCTAGCTTGCCAAGAAGCTCCCGCAAGCCTCGGCCAAACCCGAGCGTAATCCGAGCTGTGGTAAGACTATATCACTTTCGACAATAGTCATGGAGTCCTTATGTTGCTTTTGTTTGTGTAGCTACTCAAGGCATGTCGGTTTAAGGGCACTTGCCACCTCACAAATGCGGCTTGCTGGCTAAGAGCAGGTTCACTGAGGCTCGTAGTACAGGTGGACCTTGCAGAGCTCAGAACAACACGAAGTTCTTGCAGTCACATGCCAGATGTCTGCCTACCAAACCCAGTGTTGAACAACTGTGCCGGTCCGCAGCACAGCCCGTGGCGATACCCCCTGCGATCAGTCCAAACAATGCAAGATTCGGAGAACACCTGCCAGTTCAACTACGCTGGATCAAGCCGCCCCCTTTTCAGAAAGCTGCAGCTCCCAAATTCACAAATGCGTGCAATCGGGTGTGCATATGGATTTCCGCAGTGCCAAACGTACTGTCCTCATGCGTGCGAGACTGTGGTCTTAGCGAGTATAAGTGCCCGGAGACCCTAACGCATTTCGCCCAGAGCCCAAGCCACCAACACTCTCCCCAATGTGGCATGAAGCAGCCTCATAGGTGAAGTCAATGAGGCCGTTGTCCTTCATCTTTCCCTGCGACGGCAAGCAGGGGCAACAGAAACGCGTCTGCCTGCACCTGACAGGCGAGACAAGGGCTGCCGGGCTTCTGCACCTTGAGGGGGCCGGCTTCCTCGTCTTCGGAATTGTAGATCCTTGGCGAGCGGACCCGCTTGTGGAGCTGGGAACTGTACAGCTACAGCAGAATCACCCCTAAGGCAATGGAATCCAGAGCTAGGCCACAGCGGGTCCCTCTTCGTGACCAGGCGCTTGAAGTCGGAGTCAGGCATCCACTCCTGGTTGAAGCCCAGCCTCTTGCGGCCCTCTGCCAGCACCTACAGCTTGCGCCAATTCTGCGGGGTGCAGGTCTTTGAAATGCTCCGTTGAAAGAGATGCCTGTGGGCCTAATTCTGCAGTAGTGCGTGGAAGTGGCTCTGCCTACTTCGGAGGCAGTCTCTGAAGCTATAGTGCTTCGATCGAGAGAGAGGGGTTGGCAAGAATTTGCCGTTGTTCCTGAAACCTCTGGTTGGCCAAACGGTGTGCAGCGAGATAATGGACTCCAACTCCTCAGCATTCGGCCTATCCATGTTCTCTTGTGAACTAGAATCTGGCACCGGCGGCCTCGCTGGCATCAGCATCGGCCTTCCAAGGAGCACATGCTGCGACGAGATGTAGAAGCCAGCAACGACGAAAGAGCCTGCCTTGATCATGAAGCGGCAGCGTGCACCCTGTGCCGGGGCGGTGAACCTAACAGGAATTAAGGACAGCTGCTTTTCGCATATTTAGCGTCCAGCTCGACTGGTGCCACGAAGACGAAGCTGCGATCTTGTGTAGCACGTAGAAGAATTTTACAACTCTAAACACGCATATGGGTTCTCGCCTAAAGTAGCCCTTGTTTGTCTGTTACAGCCGGAGGCACGAGTGAAACTTGCCCGCGCAGCTCAGGCAGGCTTCTGTGGATATCACATATCACAACACAAAAAGGAACTCGCGTCTCACCAAACCCACAGAGCATGAGATGCAGGATAACTGGGATCAGGCACTCGATCTCCACCACATCACGGGACAGGACTGGCGTCCTGGGCAATGAAGGCATTTTGTGGCTTGCTTTGTCACGACTACAAACTTCAGTCTCTCCGTGTCAGGAGCTCATTCAGCTAGCACTGCCGAGACACCACGGAGTGGCGGAAGCGCCGGCTTGTCCCCTCAGTGCCGTGCGGCTTTCCTGGCGAAAGCAACATGGTTGCACACAGCCGCATCTGCGCAGCGGGTAACCGCAGACTGAAGGTTTTCAAGAGCTCACGAACCCGCAATGGCAAAATTCATGTAGGGACGCGTTGCCGACACTGCAAATCCCCAGACAGTCAATCACTGCAAGGATGTCACTGACCCACTCGAGTTGTTCAGTCCACAAGAAATGAGATGGCCTGGGGCCGAGTTGAAAACATGTGGTGAACATCCGGAGTCTAAAACGGACGCGCAATGACGCGAAATGCATCAGGAGAGAGCACTCACAGACAAGCACAAGCACGATGCAGCGGTGTTCATCTGTCGAACCCAAGCGAAACTCCCGGCGCCGCGCCTGGCGGGGTGCCTGGCGCCCACAGAGGTTCACGAAGGAGAGGGTGGAGCCCAAGAAGGCGACCAGCAGAACCTGAGATCCACATCGTCTTTTCCATCACGTGGCCAGTGTGGTCTTAAGCCTTAACCGGCACAACACCCGTGCATCGCAAGCCCTCGACTCACCTTCTTGAGCTCAACCCTGATCCCACGACTTCCGGGCAGCACAGCTTGTTCTTGGAGCCTACGGGCCCACGCAGGCGACAAGCCGCCGCTTCCGAAGACCCTGAGATCATTGCCTCCAGGCTGCAGCGGACAGCAAGCTCGACTTGGCCATCTCGCCCGGATCAAGAGCTAAAAGATGCTTGAGCCTGTAAAAATGCTGCCCGATACCTCATGTGTTGATATCAGCATCTGCCCTGCCGGCATGCTCTGTGGGAAAAGCGGTTGCTAGCACATCTGTCGGCATCACCCGATCAACAAGGCACGTTGCGAGCCGATTTGTCCGATGCGAAAGGCCTGCGATGCAAAGCATCCGCCTGCAGCCTTTTGGGAGAAAGGCACGCTTTAAGCCCTGCCAAAAAGCCCTTGTGCCTTGACCAGGGAGCGGTGAAGGGAGCCGGAAGGAGCCTATAGCCTTCTAAGTGCATGACTCGGAGAGTCTGCTTACTTTGGCTCAGCACTCGTCCTTTCGCCCAAATTCTCCGGGCCGCGATGCCATCTCACTGGGGCTCGTAGTAGAGATGCACCTACGGACTACGGACAAGATGCTTCTGTGCCCCGGCCCATCGCATCAGAAGCGTCTCTGCCCGGGATGGAGCACGCTTCGGAATCAAGGTACGGAAAAACCACTTGTGAAAATCACGCCGCAGGAAGTGAACTACACTGCTCACAAGCAAGGTCCAAACCTCGTAGGTGAAGTCAATGAGGCCGTTGTCCTTCATCTTGCCCTGAAACGAAGAAGCCCAGCTTCGAGCCAAACCGAAACCGGATACAATGCTTCTCCGAAATCCGCAGAAAATATGCAGGTCTGCCGGCTGCAAGGAAGCGAACGCTTGTGAGCAGTGGCTTCCCAAGAAAACTTCCAAGTGACTCAGCCTTCAGAGGGCCGGCTTCCTCGTCCTCGGAGTTGTAGATCCTTCAGCACGGGGTGTCTACAGGCCTCATGCCGGTGCAAGTCCCTTGAGCCCAGGCACTTGAAGTCGGAGTCCGGCATCCATTCCTGGTTGAAGCCCAGCCTCTTGCGGCCCTCTGCCAGCACCTGCAGATTGCCAGGCGCCATGCACTGCGCCCTCGCCTTCTGACTGCTAATCTGCGATACCGTGGCTTGCAAGCTCTTGACTTCAGCTTCCGTCCCGCTTACTTATGCATCTGATGCTCAAGCTGCGCGAAAAATATTTGTTGAAATTGAGGCCTGATCTCTGCCGATCTTGGACAGAAGATGATGGAGTGGCAAGGGAAGATAAGTACTTCTTGGGGGGTCCAATACTCCGGCTCAGTTGAACAAACCGTTCTTGTCGCTGATGTCAGTGTTGCGAACGAAACACTGGCATAGAAGCTCCAAAAAAAAACAAAAACATAGTCGCGAGCGCGGTAGCACGGTTGCCCCGCCTCACTGGCATCAGCATCCGCCTGGACAAATGCAGGCAACATTCCGCCGGCTCATCAAACTATATCAAACTAACTTGTACTTGTGATCCCCCAGTTTCAACAAAATACCTTCGACTGGTGAACGTGGCACGCAGAAGCCACTAGTAAAAAGAGGCACGCAAGAGCCCTCTATGTTTTCCGCAGCTGCACAGCTCAAAGTCTCGAGCCCCGCCCTTCGAAGAGAGCACATGAAAAGCTCACACATGCTCTGACTCTCTGGTACTTACACCGGTAACACTCCTGAGCTTTTCAAAAGTGCCTTCCTCCGGGTCAAGGAACTCGAACGAGTCGTCCCAAGGAAAGTTGCTTTCGTTTGCTAGCCGCTGTACGCTAGCAATGAAGTCCATTTCGACTTCACGAATGCGCTTCTCATGCTCTCTTTTCGAGAGCTTTCTCCCAGCTGTGAAAGCTGGATCGTACACCAGGCGCCAGTACTGCAGGTCTGACAGCAGACGAAGAACAATGCCCCTGGCCTTTCCTTTCGTGAGGCCATCTGCCAGCTGCTCGGTCCCCGCGACCCATCTCATGTGGGTCCCTGCTGCCAACGCTTGCTTCACCGAGATCGTCAGCTCGTATCCTGCCCGGCTGCTCCTCAAGCCGTGCAATGATGAGGTATTCCTCGTCATAGCGTCGAAGATGCCCTTGGAGTCCATGACGATAGCACCAGTTGTGTGCTCTTTCACTTGAGCCGCCTGAGATCCACGGGTTGGAGGATAGCCATGGGCCTCCAACCATGCACAACGAACCAAATAGTTCAGATCTTCACCAATAGTTATCGCTTGCACTTCTGATCCGTTGGATCCTAGAACTTCACGTGGTGCTTTCGAGGACTTCCACGAGACAATGTTCATCGGAACAGTCTCGCCGTCAAGGATCTTCTTGGGGGCCAGGCATGTCAAAACACCCACTGTGCTTCCACGATTTGGACGGTTGTTCTGGGCAGCATCTGCCCATGTAATCACCGCCAGATCTTTCCAGTGAAGACCGTGAGGGTGAAAGATCAGAGTCTGCTCGGAGTTGCGCTTCAACTCCCGGACAAGCTTGTTGACACGAAGAATCGTGTCAACCGTGGCTGTAGGAACCTCACTCAGCAGCAAGCCAGCTTCTGCCAAGAACTGGGGAGAAACCTGATGAGCTCTCCAAGAGATCGTCCCAAGAGCTCCCCTGATGGCACTGACCTCGCCGGAGGTCGCCTTCGATTTCTTGAACTGGGCCCTCTTGTCATCGAGGGGAATCTCCTCGACCCATTTCTCCGTGTAGGCCTTCTGGTCCAAGAATATGGTGCCATCATCCTTCTGGGTCAAGTTAGCCCCGGCGAACTCAAAAGCTTTCTGCTCCCACTTGCCCCAGTCAAAGGCTGCTAGGAGGTCCGCTTTGGCCTTCATGAAGGTGGCGTCCTTATCCTTCCCGCCAAGGAGGAAGTCATCGACATGAAACCCTGCCACCCCGCATAGTTGATTATTGCTGTCAAGCAGAATGAAGAAGCAACGGTCAAACTCCAACTGTCGCCACCCGGAACTCTTCAAAGTGGCTGTCACAGTGTCATACCATGACTTTGGAGCACTGCAAAGTCCGTAGAACGCACGGGTGAGCTTTATCACTGTAGCATCGGAGTCAGCAGCTTCACCGAATGCTGCTGCTAGCTCAGCTGGGGCGTAAATGAAGAGATCTTCTTTCTCCATATCCTGCAAGGATTGCAAAAACGCTGATGATACATCTGCGCTTTCCAGCAGCCAGCAATTATTCGCAACTATGCTCAGGATCAAAAGCTTGCCAAGTTTGCTCAGTGTGGGTGAGCTCGCTTGCGACTCAACCAGCGTCGGCGATTGATATCCAAGCACGACCAGACGTGCCTTTGCACGGCCGTCGGACTTCATGGTAAGCACCCACCTCATGCGCATTATACGCCGAACATCAAGTTTGGCCTTTTCACTGGCAGCTAGGGATCTGACGGCACAGTTGCGCAGGACTTGAGATATCTCTTTCGCCATCGCGCCATCAAACTCCTTCTTCTGATCAAGACTCAGAGAGGACCAGCTGATCTCGCGGCCCTTATCCATCATTTTCTTGGAGAGCCATGCCTCAGCATGTCGGGGGCGCTGGAGGAGCTGCTTGAAGTCTGAGGTCTCGATCGGAACATCAAACATGTAGCCCATGTCCTCAGTCACCTCTGGCTGCTTTCGCTTCCTCAGCCCTTCAGTGACCTCGTCGTCCGGAACCAACTCGGATTCATCACTGCCACTCTGGACGGATGTCTCATCACCTGACTCTTCCACAGGAATGGCTGTTTCAGACCTCTTGCCGTAAACGAACTTGTTGCCACCAGCATCAGCATGTGGAAGACGATGACCTCCTGGAAGCACACATCCTGGTGTCGTGCAGTGACCAGAACCTCTAGCTGCTTGAGACGGACCACGAGGTGTACCTGGGGTAGGTGTACCAGGGACCGCTGGGACCCCAACAGGAGATTCCCGTTGAGATCGAGGAAGCAAAGCAGGATGATCTTTTCCAGCCCGTGCCCTCTTTGCGGCAGGATGATCTTCCTTCATCTTAAAACGGGTCTCACCAGTCCATCTGTCCAGCATGCACCTGGCGGGATTCTCATGGGTCCGAAAGTTGTCGTCGATGGTCTGCTCGTTGGAGCCGCTCTTGACAATCGTCTTACGCTCACCGGTCAGGCTGTCCTCGGGGATCGGAATGTTTTTGGTTTTGCTGGGAATCAACATAGCCAGACGAGGATTGACATGCACTCGCACAAGCCATTCGCCTTGGAATTCCCAGTAATCACCACCATCTCTCCGAACACGAGGAGGCTGCACCTGAACATCAGCCTGAGAGGTGTCCTGGAGAGCTTCGCGAGGAGGATTCATTCCGGTGATGTCCTCAAATTGCTTTCCACGAAAGCCTCGCATCAAGGTGTCCAGGGTAACTGGCATTCGATAAACCGCGGCTCCATTTGTGATGGCAACTGCTTCTTCCGGACGAGAACATCGACGAAGCTGATTTGCCTTCGCCCGGATGATCGCCGCTCCCGATGCCATCCAGTAAGTGGACCCATCTCGAAGAAGAACACGGACAGGTCCTTGCCATCCGCCCCGTCCTCCAGATCGTCTTTCTCGCCACATCATCACCAACGAGCCGTTCTCAAAAACCTGAGGAGGACGGGAAGTGGTGTTGTTCAGCTTAGACAACTGATCAGCAGCTTGAGCTTTCCGGTGCGCAATGGAGGCCTTCTCGCGGAACTTTAGAGTTTCAGCGAACGCTTTGCGAGGATCAAGCCCAATTGGAACCTGATCGGGAGGTGCTGCTCCACGAATCCACTGAAAAGGACTATATCCGGTATGGGCTTGAATGGTGCTATTGTGCGCATGACAGGCGTAGTGGAACATCGTAGCCACCGGAAGGTCAACATCCTCTCTCATCATGCGATCAACAGTAGACTTCAGTCTGCCGACAAGCTGCTCTTCATGACTCATAAGCCAGTGACACTCAGGAGGAGCGATCAACAACCCAAGACCGCTTTTTCCGCAAAACTCTCGCATCTCCTCCGAAACGTAGTACAAGGCAGAGTCACACATGAGCCACCGGGGAGCTGGATGATGCATCATCCAGTCTCGCGTGAACATTCTGATGATGTCTGCTGTTGTCGGCTCCCAGGCATCAACGTAAATCTTCATGACGGAAACA